GGTGAGCTAATGTCACGTGAAAAGTCATTGAAGACTTTGTAAGGAGAGACAAAATTTGGAAAGGTTACTGCTGGTGAGGAGAGGCATGTTACAATGGGGAAACACTCTGGCAAGCCTCCGAGGATTAGGCCCGAGGGGCTGTTTTTTAAGAACCGGACATCAGAAAGGGAGAAGAGGTTAAAGAATGTCCCTCAGAATGGCCCTCTGGCCAGCATGTGTGTAAGAACAGGGTCTGCTGCTATCTCAGGCTGAGACAGGCCAAAGTTCAGGCCCCCGGGAGAGTAACTTACCCAAAGGGAGATAAACCAGTGTTTTTATATGACTGATTAATGGGGATAAGCAGGTCAGCTATCATTTATGACACACAGGATGGGAATTTGGGGATTGTATCTGGTCTAGGTAGGCGAGAGTGTCAGCTAGTCTTGCCTAAGCTGTTTGGGGAAGGTCAGGGTGTGAAGAGTGCAGGGTTTTCCTCATCTTCCCTGCTTTTCAGGATCACCCTGCAGGTAAAGTTCCAAAGATTCTTGTCACCAACGAGGAAAAGGAAGTACTAAGCCCAGAGATGGGGGCCTGCCCTCTGCCCTCCGGGGTCATTCCTTCCAGGGGCCTGCACTCACTGGCTGGCCACGCAGTCGGGGAGGCTGGGAGGGTCCTTATTCCCTGTGGCTTAGACCGCCTATTGTCCCAACTCAGAAATCAGGGGCCAGCTGTGTAGGGAGAAGGGAGCCTGGATTACTGGCAGGTCGTCTCTGTTGTACCTCTGTCCGTGACATATTCGGGTGCTGACACCTGTCATAGTACTGTCAGGAATCTGGTAGCCTTTTCTCAGGACACAATCTATTGGCTGTGCAGTTTGCATTTCTCTGGCTTGTTGGGAGCCTTGACTTTTCTTTCTAAATTGACTTATTTTTTGACAGAGTCATTTATTCCCATGTTTCTTTGAAACGAAGATAAGTGTGAACATGTAGTGTGTTATGTGTTGGATAATTAAGACTTTGTTGTTGAATCACCAAATGCCACTTAAAGGTAGCAGTCTGCCCTCACTGTATTCTGGACTCTCCCGATGTCACCCTCTCTGGCCGTCCCCCATCCATCAGCATTTATTAGCCCCCTACCTTTTTTAACCTACCTTATTTTTCTTTTCATCACTCAGTGCTTCCAAAGATTTTAGTATTAGCATTATTTTAATGTTGGCCCCATCGTATAAGCTCAGTTGTGATTGCAACTGTGTTTACCTAGAACCAGAGGGTGCTCAGCATTCAGCATCTGTTAAATGTATGAAAGGAGGACAAAGAAAGGAAGCAAAATTTTCTTTTTGAATTTTGTATATTGAATCACTTTGCCTTCTCTTACCAGGTAGAATTACCATAGTGATTCTTGCAGGACAGTGAAAAATGGTTAACCAATACTGCCTTTGCACATAAGAAGGAATAACTGACTCCTATCAATAAAGAAGTCAAGGAGGGAGAAGTCAGGAACTCTTAATAGCAGTGACAGCTCCGACTCAAGACGCGAAATCCCGCGGCAGGCAAGGCAGACCTGCAAATGGCAGCAAATTCCCTTCCTGCCATCTTCAGGGGCTTGTACCTCTTTTATGAGGAAATAATGTTAAGTGAAATGAATCAGTATGTTACCTCTGAACATAAAGGAAAACATAACTAAGCACTGCTAAAAGACATCCTGACCCCGGCATTAACTGGTACCCTGACTTTGGTCTTTTTCTTAACTAGAAACTTAACTAGATCTGTAAACAGATGCTGTCTGGCCTTAGTTTTATTATCATAAGCATGTCTGTGCCATTCAGATTCAGAGAACTTGAAGGGCCTCAGTGACACTTCTTGGATGTCACCTTTAGTAAACTTTGCTGAACATATTCTAGAGCACAGATCTGGTGGGCCAGATGGATGCTTGAAATCCTTGATTCTGAGACCTCCTGAAAATTGATCTTGAGTTTGACTGAAGATTGAGTAAACAGGTAATTGTCTTCTAGACATTATTACTTGTTGAGACTTTGTTTTGTTCTGTGCTGGCAGAAAGTAGAGCCATAAGACTGAGAAGTCACTAAAAAATTCAGTCACACTTTTTATTTTTTGAAACATGAGTGAAGAGAAAATAGACTCATTCGTTGTGCTTTTTCCACATGGAGCAAAAAAGAAAGATGTTACCAAAACAATTTTATGAATCATGTCTTCCATAAGACAGCTTTCATGGGATCTCGTTTTTTGCAAATTGGATTTGTCTCTTCCTCTCTTTAGATTATAGATGAAATCTTGAAGATCAATGAGGACCCCAGAGTGCATGGGCTTGCGCTTCAGATCTCTGAGGATTCATTTACCAACAAAGTCCTCAATGCCTTAAAACCAGAAAAAGATGTGGATGGGTAAGAAAGCATAGAAAAATCAACTCTTATTGCTAAGTGTGTTCTACTGTGATTATTTCAAAAATTGCTGTCTTAGCTATGTCAGTAACTGAGAGATAAAAGAAATCATTTACATGATTTTAGGAGTTTGAGGACTTTTAAAATTTTTTATGAGAAAGTTGCATAGTAGGGGAAACACGCTGGCTCTTTGGAGTGCTTGTTGCTATTTGGAAATGATCTTGCACCATCACACTCACTTGTTAAGCTCCTGACGCAGACTTCTTGGCTGACTCCTCTCGTGATAATTTCCTGGATAATCCTTCCAGGCCACAGGAGAGATCTGATTCCCCAGCAGTCCCCCATTCTGTCTCAGTCCCAGGCCAGCTGAGAAAAATAAAACATGTCTTCATGATGCAAGAGTTTATTTAAAATTTGAAGGGAAAACTCAGGTAAATATGAGGTGTCTGTTGGACCAGTCAGTGTGACAAGCTTCAAGGGACAGTGACTGTTGACAACATAGAGGAGTTCAGGACATTTCCTGGGGTTAAAAACCAAATTTTCCTACATGGATATAGAAAATTTGTTATACTTAGGCCCAAAAAGACACACTGTACTTAGCATTACAGAGATGTCGGTTTGTCTTTCGGGGGCTGGATGAAGAGGCTGTGGCCTCACTGAGCCCCGGGTTTCACCCATGGTCCGAGGCCCATGGTGACTCGGTTTAAATGCACACATAGGTTTAAACTTAGGAGAATCCAATTCTGGAGTAAACCAGCCATAAAGAAAGAAGAAGCTCTAATCAAATATAAAACTTCCAGAGTCTGAAGGTGCCGCTGTGTGGTTTCTCCCCTTTATATGAAAAAGGCAATGATGAGCATCTCCCTAAATGTCCTCATTTTGTCACGGGGGAGGATGGGGCTTTTCACCAGAGATCGAGTGGAGAAAAGAACAGGCAGATCTTCGGAAATACACTGCTGAGGGGAGCAGCAGGGAGGCAGGAGGGGCCTGCTGCTCAGAGTGAGGCCCGAGGCTCTGTTCACACTCCAGAAGTCACAGGCTGGTGAGGGTGATGGTCTGGGTGTGTCCTGACACGTGGCCT